ATTCCTTATACGGGAGGAACTTAGCTAGCTAGAACTTATATTGGGCACTTGAAGTATAGGATTTGGAGAGGCAAGACCTCTTAGTGCTAATGTCTTATAGCAGCCGTAGCAGCTAGCCTGCTAGGGATTTGGTGGCTTCAGCTAGGCCGACGGAGTCGGGCGACGGCAGCATGTTTGGGCTGCACCTTTTGAAAGTAGGCGTGGCAGTTTCTTGTATTTCTAGCTCGCACTAGAATTGGCTGTACTGGCCACAGGCTGCTCCTGTCTTCCAAGCTTTCTTGTCCAAGTCAAACTGTAAGTCAAATCTAGTTATTTCTCTTGTGATTTAATTTATTTAGTAAGTTGTCAGAGACATTGATTAATGGAGAAATAAGATAAGCCTGGATGACAATCATTTGAATGTTCTTTTGACCTTAAGTCTTTAAGTATAAATCATTTTATGATTATAGTCTTGCATATCAAATATTATTCTTGACAGAGAAAAGGAATGTTTCCTATTTCAATATGGATGCTGTTCAGTATTATCTAGTTGTGTTTTATATAATACCAGAAACATGAAGGTATCTTATGAAACGAGAATATAAAATTAACATTTGCATTGTGATTATACTTGGAATAATTAGGGTTATTATAACAGCCTTAGGATGAAGATTGAATTTTGATAAGGATAGGTAGTTTGTATGCCTTGGTATTTTATTATCGTAGACTGCGTTAACTATGGCGTTAACCCTGGCGTAAACTTCAATGTTAACCAGGATGTAAACCACTGCGTAATCTATGGCGCAATGTACGACGTAACGTCTACGTAATTCCCATGTGCATTCCAAGACCCGAGGTGTCGAGTGTTCAGTAGTCCGCCGAACGTCGAAGACTACGACGAAGACTTCGACCACATTAGACAGTCAACGAGTTCACTTCGGTGTTCACCCGCCCCCCCCCCCCCCCCCACTCAGTGTTATTTAGGGTACGCGTATGCTTGTACCCTCTTTTTGAAAAGACCCCCTATCTGAGCACTGCCAACATTTCCGTACCCCCCTTTCGCGGGCTTTTCACGGGCTTTTCCTGCCTCTGATACCCCCCTAAATCAGGAACGCTGCTCAATGTACCCCCCTATCTCAGGACTTGCAGACACCCCCCCCCCCCACCCCCATCTCATCTCAGATCAGCTGTCATTTACTGGTTGGCACTTTTTCAAGTTCTTCTTCTTGATCATTTTGAAGCACAATTTTTTTAGGGCTTCAATATTACACCATATCACAGACACTGATAACATGTAGGGCCTTGCATCTCAGATTTAACATTGTTAAACGATCCCTTTAATACACAGCCAGGATAGTATTACTAATGCAGCTGTGTGTGAATTAGGGTAGCCTACACTAGGCCTACAGTACAAAACTACATAGGTCTAGATCCAAGTCCCACATATTCATTTTCATGGGTGTAGGAAAATGAGTTTGAAAGTGTTATTGCGATCAAACTATAGGGCAAACTACTCACCTGAATGTGCCACCCTGTGAGCCACGGGTAGACAGCCACAATATTCACAACGAGGAGACTGTGGGTCCAGCTCAAAGACGTCGCAATCATGACAATTTTGGCAGGGCCCACGCCTCATACCCCATTTTCATGCCCCGGCTTGATGCCGAGCCTAGCCCGATATGCATGCTGAGCGTGCAGCTAGCGGATGCCCCGTCAAACTATACGTTCTGTTGTTATCTCTCTCTCTCTCTCTCTCACACAGATTTTGAGAAGTCCGTACCGGTACTGCCGCCGTACTGGGACGGGAGTGCATGGGACTCAATGTGTTTACTTTTCATAATGAAATAATCCTGAATGAGCTTTCAAAACTAGCAGGAATTTCTGAAATCTGATCGCGGGATTTCATCAATTTTTTTATGTTCAACTTCAAGATATTTTATAACCCCCTTTTTTAATTACAAAGAGATGAGAGAAAAACACCCCCTTTTTAAAGAAATCTCCGGGTGAAAGTCAAATACACCCCCTTTTTTACATTTCTCGGGCCGGACTTTGTCGCACGAAAAGTACCCCTTTACCGGGATTTTGGCAACACGCATGCAGTCATTTCGAAATCTGAGTTGGGGGGGGGGGGGGGGGGGTGTTCATCACCACTTCAAGTTCTTCAGACCATGTTTCATATTTAAGCAGAGTTAAGGAATTAAACTGAAAGAACTTTTGGACTTGACTGAACTAAACCAGTGAACTGTTAATTTCAATGCATATATGAAAGTTTCTATTGGGATGTACCAGGGTAGGAAGCTTGGTAGTTTGCTTTACTGGATCGTTTTGCAAGCAAGGTAGAACTCTTTTTAATAATCATGTCGCCTGTTCATCCAAGTGTTACCATTTATCAAACAAAAATGATTTGGGATAAAACACTCTTTCATGAGATGTATAATAATTCATTGTTCATAAATGATTTTTAAATATTTAGCAATTTGTTAAGGTAGACTTACACTGTATATATATATTTCTAACATTAATACAGAGATACACTAATGCATGCAGCTAGGGTTTGCTCTACCTGAACATGAGAAGGCTTTTAACCGTTAGGTTGACGTTGAATAGATCAAGAAAACCTTAATTTTACAGATACATTTTATTTGCAGCGTTCTACACTAGTGAAAGAATATCAGAACAAGACAAATTGTATATATGCATATATATTATGTATATGGTACAAATTACACAGGTCCGTATTTCAATACTTCCGTTCAAATGATCACATTATATTCCTTTATTGTTTTAGGTGAAAAAATCAATTTGTCCATACAATTGTATGTTTGTTGAGGATGTGACTTAATAAAGCTTACATGAAAATTAATAAGAATAATATCAATGGAAAGTGCTTATATAGCGTGTAATAGTTCATAATATTCTCTATGCTATTTACATTTTTTACACAATTATACATTAACAAACGTGTCATCAGAACATAGAATACATGGATGTATAATGGCAATTAAAATATAGTCAATATTCAACAAAGGCACTAAATTCAATCAGCTCACTTTTCATTCATGAGTGAAGAAAAACACGAAATCAACTTTTTTTAAAGGGTATAGAGTACATTGATAACAAATTGTATTATATATAGTTTAGTTTCCTTATGAATTTTGAAAAACGTTTCTATACCTTCATCTCCAACATCAAGCATAATAAAATAAACAAGGAGAATACAGCTAAGGTTACCTGAAATATTATTAGTTTGCTTTGTTGTCATTAAATTATCCAGGGCCCCATTTCATAAAATGTTGTATCGGTATGAAGATACGATGATTGCTATAAGCTACTTTATCCTTACACTTCTTTGACCATGAGGAGATTAGTCCTAGATCTGTGGCATTTGTTATTTATAACAAGTTTTTATAAAACCGGGCTCAGTTGTATCTCCTATCGGCTATAAAACTGAGGAAGAAATAGTAAATGCTAACTGATGAGGAGGATCTGCAATCTATTATCGGTTCTAGTAATGGAAATAGAAAAGGGAGAGTGTTATTAACTGAAGTAGTATGATCTTCAAACAAACCGGCTTAATAGCTTATTCAAATATATGAACGTTTCTTTCCTGTGGACCTAGTGACAAGTAATTCCTTTAATCTGTTATTTATAAAGGAACTGTAATATTTGGAATCCATTCTGTGTCGATTACTTGTTGATATGTCGGACAGGCCTCAGGCAAGTATTCAGATTATCAAGAACAACTTGTGTTTAAAATGTATGCATAAACTTTAAATACGTTGAAATACCGGTGAATTGTTCATTATTTTGAACTTACTTTGTCAACTTTGTTCTTTATTGGGCAAACAACTGATATTTAAAATGGAATAAATTCGAATCAATTAATCAATTATTGCTATAGATAGGTTACACGTGATCCCATACACCAACACAGTAATTATATTATTTTAATTTTGATTATTGATAGGATTAGTAAGGAAAGCCAAGCAATTGATTATAGTAGAGAAATCACACCGAATCAGGTTTATAAAAATAAATATCAAACTCCGCCATACACCTGTACTACTGTACATGCAAACATTGATTAAATATCGTTTAAAGTCAACAGATTTAAAATTCTCTTTTTAAATCGCTAAGATGAGGATAAAAATCACAACTAAATCGAGTGTTAATGTTTTTTGTGAAATATTACATGAGTTATAAATGATGTTCGATATGACAGAAGTTCGTTTACCTTTCCTTTCTCTGCATTCACTGATTCAGATATTCAGATCAAATCACGGATAACATCATCCATAATTATTCATAACAAGCACTTAATCAAAATGAGATCAAATCAAATTATATATCTGTATTTACTTGAAAGCAGACTGTAGATGCATTTCCTGTAAATCAATAACTATCTTCATCCACTTAGTAATATTCACATCTGTTGTCTTAGTTTTAGTTTCCTCTACTTTTACTCTGTATTTCAACATAAACAAAAGATATTTGCTTATTATTTTCGTTACTAAATTTGTATTAAATTGATTTACAACACTCGTTTTATAGATTGCAAATAAAGCATAATGAAGTAGTAAGTCAATATCTTTAAAATTGTCCTTTGCGTCATGACTTTACATTGCCATGACTTGATATCATGCAAATACACTAAAGCGACCAAAACGTTTGTATATCTCAGAACAAAATGTACACAATTTTAGTTCACTACTACAAACAAAAAATTGTTATATAAGCAAACGTAATACATTTGAATTCTGTTATACCGAGTGATATGAAAATACATTTCTCTCTCAAGAATGCTAATAAGTTATTATAATCATTACTGCAATCTTTATTTTTCTCTGTTTGTCTCTATCTCTCTCTCTCTCTTTCTCTCTTATTGGCTCTCTTCTCTCTCTCTCTCTCTCTCTCTCTCTCTTTCTCTCTTATTGGCTCTCCTCTCTCTCTCCCTGCATCTCTCTCTCTCTCTCTTTCTATCTCTCTTTCTCTCTTCACTTCATCAACATTATGAGTATGACTTAATGTAGATTTTCAAGAGCAGCAGCGAGTGAAAGCACATCAATATAGGGGACCTTAAGATCGTCTTTCATTGACTGGTAGAAAGATTGTGGGGCTGTGATCAGTTGTTTTTTTAGTTGCAGCAATTGGGTTCCATTGAGTGTTTTCAAAGCTTTCTTACGTGGTGTGACGTTGTTAGCTGCCAGCCAACGCTGGACCTTCTTGGAATCCCATCCGGTACTTGAGATTCCACTTGAGGTGGCTTTGGTACTTGCTCTTGGGACGAGGGACCTTTCAATGAAAAAAGAGCACAAGAAAAGAAACGAAACTCATTACAATATAATTATTATATATATATAATAACATATCTAAAAATATGAGCGTAATCACCATTGTTCATGACACCCTTCGCGTATGACTAATCAGCAAAGCTGATCAAGTTTACTCCGATTCTCTCGCTTTTTTTCTACCAGCTGGGTGACTTTGTACTCACTTTAAATAAAATACATTTCTTTATAGTAAAGAATATGAAATAATAAAAAATATTTGATTTATAAGTATACATAATAGCTATACAATGATTATACATAGCTAAACTGCATTTCTATATATTAATGTTGTAACTATACTTTTAACGATGCTAATGCTAATACATATTATGCTATATACTATGTTATGTTTTAAGACAAATAAGGGAGCATTTAGCAAACAAGGAGTTAATTACTGTAAAAAAATCCCGACAAAATAGCCAGGTATAACTTATACAAGAAAAACAAATACAGGAAATAAACTTATTAAACTTATTATAGTAAGTAAATGTATATAGGTTAGTAAGTAAATGTATATGATTATATGTTTACCAATATTATCTCTCCCCCTTTTTCATTCCCCCTCTCTCTTTTATTCTTTCTCTCTCTCTCTTTCCTTCTCTCTCTCTCTCTCTCTTTGCAGCGTGATTGACATACCGGGAGCAGCGTTCACGTTCTGGACCGTTTCTTTCTGCACTGCGACTTCTTTCTGCACTGCAAATTCTTTTTCGATGATGCTGGAGAGTACCTCGGAGACAAGCTCGGCTTGCTGAACGATGTAGTAGATCTTCCCTGCCGTGATACCACCTAGCCAACCAGAAGCTTTGAAGTCATTACTTACCTTCACAGGGATGATCTTCTTCTTGCATTCGTAAGCATAAGACGCTTCTGAACACATGACATAAAAGATCCATTTTTAAAATCGATTTCAACGGCAATGTCCAGTTGAAGTAAATGGTACAGGTAGGAAAAAATACGCTCTCTCAGTGTTTTCATATGGTTTGGGACAGATTTTCTTTGTAAATATCTTTGAAAAGAAAGACTTGTTTTTTCAAATTCTTTCATATTTCTTAATATATAAATTTACAAGAAATAGCTAAAATAATGTCTGTGTAGTCCCATATATTTATTGATGTGTGTCGGACAAGTGACTGTGCGTATCATCGCGTCACTCTCTTATCATTCTGATAATTTCGGAACCCACTATTTTATACATAGTTTAATGCTATGAATAATCTTACTTTCACACTCGATTCTACAGAGTCTCAATTATAAAGATATTTCATAACCAGGGCCCCGTCTTACGAAGAGTTACGATTGATCCAAATCAATCGCAAGTCCTCAATCAATCGCAAATTTGCAGTCTCCTATCTCTTATGTACATAGTTGCGATTGATATCAATCGCAGATAAGTTGAGAATGATATCAACTCTTTGTAAGACGGGGCCCGGAACTCCATGAGCACAATTGCAAATGTGGGTTAAAAGACGCATAGCAGTGGGCTACCATATGGAGTGTAACACCATTCGGCTGTTTACCCGATGACAGATGATGACAAGCCTTCAGGGTTTTTTTACCAACGTACCAAATGAAATGATTTGTATTCCCTTCAAATGGTACAGTTACTATCTTAAATTTTGCTATCCCCAATACTTTCCGAGAAGGGCGGTATATTTTCTCGATTGAACCACAGGTATGCTTTGTGTAGACTTGTAAATCTATTAATGGTAGACGAATTATGACTTTCTGCACATGGAAACAGATGATCCTCTCTTTTAAAAGGTAATACAAAGTTTTGCTATGGGGTCATGAATTTCCCAAAACTTTGTATTACCTTTAAAGTCAACTGACATTGATCAGAAAAAGAGGTCAATCTTTTCTCACCTGTACGGCAGTCTTGACTATCTTGGTAACCACGTGTGATACAAGCTATGACCATAACGGCATTCTCTACGGCTTCTGCCATGGCACCGATCTTATCACCCACTAAGACAAGAAAGAAGAAGAAGGAAAAAAGAGGGAAAAGAAGAAGATTGAAGGGAAAAAGAAAAAGAAGAAGAAGAAGAAGAAGAAGAAGAAGAAGAAGAAAAAGAAGAAGAGGGATTATGGATGACCATGCTCTAGCTTTAGGGACAATTTGTGAATAATGTATGCAATAACCAGCAGCCGTGATGACACGTAAGAAACGCTCAAATAAGAAAATATTATTCAAAATTTCACCAGCTTAGATAATCTGTTGCAACTTTGAATGAAAGACATAAAAACAGAAATGCATTAAAATAAACAATACATGTCATGTTTGAAGAGAAGTGTCTGCAGATAAACTTACTCATGTGGTCTTCATCCATCCACACGTTGTAACCTCTTTTGCGCAGCTGTTTCTTGAACTCTCGCATCACAGATTGGGACGGGTGTTCCCATTTATAGCTGAGCATGATGTGTCCACTGGACTTCACACTGCCCGACGGCGCCCTCTGCTGTGACTCGACATCTGTTTTCCTGTGCGTCAGGCCTTCGGGAAGTTTGGATTCGTAGATCTCGAAGAGAGCGCCCATACAGGCATTGCGGAGCTTTTCATTTTTACCATGGGAATTCTCCGTCAGATCTTGTTTTCGTGATAAAAGAAAATATAATATTAAAGGCACCCTGTCCTACTTGTAGCTACTTGCTCCCTCTATATAGAAAACTTCCCCAATCGGCGTCTGTTGGTCCCCCATGATCCTCTGTTTCTTATGTTACATGAGAGCTGAGTTTAATGAGATAGCCACCTGTCACAGTGATCTCGCTGGCTCGCTCGGTGGTCTAATCCCTTCTGGCTGAAGTAGTAAAGCCTGCCTTTAAAGCCAAAAGGGCATTCACTATTTGACTTTAAAACATACTTAACGTCCTTCTATCTCTGAACACAAGACATGCTTCCTATTTTACAATGGATGCACGAAAATATTCACTTATTGTGGGCCCACTGCACAACGTTTGATGTTACTAATACCCATTGTGGAAATATTCAATCATACAACTCCATCTTATGAACTGAATTTATTCTTTACTCATCATAACATAAAAAATGAATTACTAAATCTCCCCCTCCCTCATTCTCACTCACTATATTATCGTTGTGGTTACCTACATGTTTTTTTTCCTCGCCGACCCCCCCCCCCCCCCCCATTTCCTAAAAACTATGACTTCAACGTAAGCTGAACAAATTAATCCATCATAATTACCTCAAGTTTGTAATCTTTATAACAAAAATTCGTACCCTAATGCTTGGGAAATATTTTAACTAAAACATCATACGTTTTACATAAGAAGTTGTTTCATAATTATAATAAATGTTGAGAAAGCTTACTTACTGTATATAATACTCTGTTCTGTCCGCAGTTTTTCTTTATTTTCCTTGAGAAACGCTAGTGTCCAGATCCCTTTGGCAGCAAAGGTCTTCTCCTCCACGGAACAATCTCGTTGGAGCAATTTAGCAAGGATAGGAATGCCTCCCTGTTCTACTATGAGCCGTTTGTTGTTGTCATTGATTGCCAGGTCATCGGCTGCTTGAAGTAACTCTTCTGCAGTAAACATAGTCCCTAACGCCAGGTTCTTCTTGGACGATTGTTGCCATATCTCTGCTTGATGATCAGGATTGGAGAGACATTTCTTCAACAGCGAAAGTAGTGTTACGATACAGGTGTAATTGATGGAGAGCTTGTCGGCCTCTTCTTTCTTCACCAGCTTTGCCAACGTCATGATTGATATTTTCTGTGTCAAGCTCTCTTCCGACTCGCCAAACTTTTGCAAGGCACGCACGGCCCGGTGGTGCTTAGGAGCCAGAGACGGCACTCTTCTGCAGGCATTGCCCAATATGATAATCGCTTTAAACAAAATTGCATCTACCCATTTGTTCTTCGCCTTATCACTCTCCGCGAGGTGTAAAAACCAATCGACAATCAAAGACAGACACCCATCTTCTTCCATTTGTAAACAGAAGTAATCAGAGTTTTCTGTAAAGTTCATAGCGGGACAAAGCAGTGCGTCACAAAATTCAAACATTAGTGTGGTCTGATGTGATTGTTCTTCTTGTTGATCAGCGTCTTCAATCTTTTGTAACATATCGCCCTGTTTCCACGTATAAGCAAATATTGTGCAGAAGTCTGTGTCAATGCCCAGGCCATCCCCTACAGCGTTACGATCAATGTTGTTGTTCCATGAAACGCTGAAGATATCCTTCATCCCTTTAAGACAAGAGGTGCATGGGAAATCTTCACAATCCTGAATCTGCTTGATTCTGGCTTTGACAAGGGTAAGACATTTGTTGACCTCGTCACTGAACTCTTCGATCCGTTTTGCTTTAGTTGCTGCAGAATCAACGAGAAGAATATCCGAAATGTCAGTCAATGTCCTCGAAGCATCATTAGTACTCGCAGAAGATGCCATGTTTATTACGAACCATCAGACACTGTCAAATAAACAATGCAGTTCATCAAAATAGTGACATGATTTAGTAAACAAACATATTTTTTAAAAAAATAACTTCATTTCGTTGACGATCAACCATGCACAAAGAAGACGAAAGACTTGATGCATGGCTGATCGTCAACAAACAGAGTTAAGTCTTTCGTCAACTCAGTTTCTTGCTACGACAGGCAACCAGTGAAAACGAACTCGTTTAATCAAATTATGGAAATGCAAGCATTACTTCAAACAAACCGAACCTTGTTATTCCTGGATCATTTTTCATAAATGAGGTATCATAGCGAAGGGCAGAAATTAAACTTTCTAGAAATGTTATTCTTTTCTTTGAAACTCAGATACCGCCCGCCAAATGACTTTTTGACGTTTTCTCTCTTCAAATAGTTTTAAATCTCTAATGCATGAAATATCTATTCATATGAGTTGAATCAAATGAAAGAGAAGGGTCTAAGCTTTACAAATATGTGTCATTTATTAATTATAATTGTGATTAAGTTATGATAAAACATCGATAATTCTCGTTTCATTTTTTCTGGGACGCACTTCATAAGAACTAGCTCTTTTTTATGAGTCATTCCCGCGGGGGGAGGTCACTCTCAGCTTCGTACGCAGTGGGTGGGGGTGTTTTGGGGATTAATTTTTTTTTTTGAAAAAAAATAATACTTCCCCCCCCCCCCCCACACACACACACTGGAGAAATATCGGGCGGCACGATTTTCACATTTGCGGGGGCCCAACAAAAATAGGTCGCTTACTATAACACCCCCCCCCCCCTCCCCCCACCTGAGCAAATATCGGTCTTCACGATTTCCAAATTAAAACAAGAAAACCTTGAAAAAATCCTGCGTACGCCACTGATCACTCTTATACACAAGTGCTACCCGCCTGTGTCCAATGGACCCTGATGACCTGATGACGTACGTGTGAACCTGAAAAGGTACCCTCTTTTGAGAAAACGTTGAAACCTGTAACCCTGAAAAGTAACCCTGTTTTGGGTTTGTGTGCGATCGAATAACACACATTTGTAAGGAAAACGTCGACGACGCCGTATAGCTGAAAAAAGTACACTTTCAACGCTTTTTTCTGGGCACGGGTGCGTTGTCAGTCATGTTGGGAGTGCCACCCCTCCCCCCCCCCCCCCGTGGGCCATACCGTGATCTATGGACTGGTACACTCTAAGATATCTCTTACGGTTGGGCTTGTAACAAGGGTTAAACAAATTTTTGAAAGGAAACGTACCTCGATTGAAATCATTTGTAATTTTGTTCAAGCTGACATTTAACGTGGGTGCTTAGAAGGTCAAAAAATGTTTGTTAGATAGATTCTTTAGAGTAAAATTACAAAAGAAAAACTATTTAAGGTGTAAGCATGTCCAAAAGTGGGTATTACTTCGTTCCGCCTTGGTACAAACATTCCTCGCTAAAAAATATACGAGAAAACTCAGATAGACATATACAGGCATACTCTTTATATCATGTTACAGGATCGTAGGTGAATAAATTATTTCATACGGCTGGACTTGTAACAAGGCTAACAGAAGAAAGAAAAACACATTTGAAAGAAACTTTCTGAAAAAAACGTACCTCGATTGAAATCATTTGTAACGATGTTTACGCTGGTAGCTTTTTACCCTAACAAAGATTATGATCACTGATGGTAACCTGAGGAGCGTGGGTGCCTAGAAGCGCAAAAATATGTTTTTGTCGAATAGATTCTTTACAATAAAATTACAATGGAAAACTATTTCAAGTGTAAGCGTGTCCAAATTTGGGTATTAGGCCTACTTCGTTCTGCTTTGATACAAACATTCCTCGCTAAATAATATACGTGAAAGGTCAGACAGACATTGAAAGGAAGTGAAAATGGAAAGAATAGTTTGACTTCTTTTAGGACGCTTTACCTGATATTCAGGGTCCACGAAAACTTATCAAGATTTAACATATATGTAGCTTCATGTAATTCAGTGAATAAGTGTAAACGTGTGAAGCTTTATTTAGTAATTCAGTATACCACACGATTTCACTCATATCCTACTACGAATATAAACATACTGCAAACATTTCTGATTCTGGTTTGGGGAGCACAGGTCATATGCCCGACCCCCAAAAAATAAAATCAATTTTTTTTTTTCTAGACGCAGAAATTGTGGACTTTTGTCCCCTTTTACATGTTGTACAGAGTGAGTCAGAAAAAATGTCCCACTTTTTAAAAGTTGAATTGTTTGAAGTATGAATATTTAATCATGGGTTTCATGATATGTCTTGATACAGTTATCCTCCCAGCATTTAGGTACCATTTTCATTTGAATCTCTGCATGGATGACTGACCGTCAGACAATCTTTAAAAGACTGCCAAATCTCACTTGCGCCAAGTTGCTGGGTGAGGAATAAAATCGTGTTTTGAACAAAGACAGCCAGACAGACAATAACACACAAACGCGCGCGCACCCATACACGCACACGCACGCAAACGCACACCCAAACGCATGCACATACACGTTCACACACACATACACACAACACACACGGAGACAATTGTTTCATAATTTCCCCTTTTCTGATTAGTTTTATTTTGACAGGGTACCCTTTCAGTTATATTAAAAAAATGCTCGAACAATGGGCCCTGTATCAACATAATCTAAAACATATTCACAAAGCATATAAACAAATATAAGTTATAATGAACACACAAATTAAACAAGATAGTGTATGTAACTCTATTCCGATGAGTATGGATCATCAACATTTAGAGGTAACGAGTAAAAATGTATATATTATACTCACGGTTATACTGCAATTGTGGAACGAGGCATTAAGCTCTCTCCTCAGATATATTTATTCAAGTTTGCTAAATGTGAAATCAGTCGTGGAACGCGGCGTTGAGTCCTCTTCTCAGAAATATTTATCCAAGTATAGCCGAGCTAAAAAAAGCCACACATAATCGTACACAGTTCAAATAAGAGTAACTGGCAACAATTGACATGAGAAGTCTCTTCTAGAACGTCTTATGAAGGCGTTTACAATGTCTCTTTCGCAAGATAAGAGGAGAGTTTGTCTCTAGGTAATGAATCAGGATTGACAGATGAAAAAACATGCAGTGTGTCAAAGCAAATAATCTAGAAATCGATCAAATGCAGATTCGCTGT